TGCGCGAAATATAATCCGCGAGAAGAGCTTTGTGCGCTACAGTATTAAAAGATAAAGCGGTGCGTTCAAAATACCAACAAGGACTAAAACATTTATTGTATGGTTCTCATTTGCTTTATAATACAATAACATTAGTTCGACGCGAATTTTAATACAAGTAAGGTATGGTATCATGTTTCATAATGTAAGGAACAATGTAAACTAGCCATACATTCCGCCGAACATATAAACTTCGGCCCGTTTGGACATATCTTTTTCGTAATAGTAATATTGGAACCAGAATCCTAAACAATATTTCTACACTATTTCACACTGTCGATCGGGCAATAAAATATGGTCAAGCATCAATTGACGTGGCGCGTGCTTGCGAGTCAAAACCCGATATTTTAAAAAATTGAAAATAAATATTTCTACTCTGTGCCGTATTCAAACGAAACTTTGTACATGAAAGCGCTTGAATACAAGACGTATTTTATTCACATTGACTCTGAACAAATTGTGAAGAGTTTAGAAGATATTCAAATTTTTTTCTCGATATGAAATACAGAATGTTTGGCGGCCAGTGGCGTGCTGGCAGGGGGGGCCGGGGGGCCACGCCCCCCCCCCCCAGCTGGCAATTCTTGGGGGCGCAAAAATGAAAATGGAGCGCCGAATTTTGAAAGTGGGCCGGGTGGGAAAAAACGCATTCTCGAAAAAATATGGTTACTTCCGCCAAGAAAAGACATGTTTAAAGGCTACAGTATAAAACAGACTAAGCGCATATAGGCGACATATATTAAATTACAGACTATTTTGCCTATAACCGTATTTGCTACCTCACAGCTCACACGAAATCGTTCATATAGAAACATGATCAGTGATCACAGGCAATGTCTCATTACCGGAATATTGGTCAGGTTTCGATCGAAGCGATCACAGGAATTATGCCCTTTTTTGCTGGTATTATGCCCTTATATTGTGCCCTTTATTATGCTTCACGAATCACGAGAGCGGCGCAAATTAGATAGTTGAAGTTATGATAACTGATGTTTAGTTGTGTACGCAATTTAGTTGTTTGCACAAGAAGCATGGGTAATGTAAGCAATGAAATAATGCTGAAACATGCCCTTTTGGCAGCCAGGCAAGGAAACCTTAAAATGCATATGCGTGGGTTGCTTGTGTTATTGTATAAAAGAGCTTTAAGTTGTAAATGTACTCAGAACAGTAGATCAGTAGAGAACAGAATTGGGATTAGATTAATCGCTGGAAGTAGTTAGCATTGCATAATTTAAGTACTGCTACTAAATTCTAACCGAATTGCAAATTTCGACACGTTATAATGCCGTTTCCTGACCATCAGATTTCTGTCAAATCTTCCCCCAAAGTCCAGGAAATGGCATTTCAGAGACTCTAAATTCAAAAATTTTCCTGGGGAGCATGCCCCCGGAACCCCCTAGACAAACCTCGCACCTGCGGCACTCGGCTCGTGCCTTCGGCCCTCGTTTATCAAGTGTAACATTATAGGGGAGCATGAAAAGAGTACCCAGCACGCCACTGGTTTGGCCAAGCGGTGAGTAAATATATTAATTGTTTTGGTTTGTGTAATGTTTTGACGGCATTTGACGCCCCCGCAGGATTACAATGGTGCTTTTCGTTTTAAAGGGGGGGGGGGGGGGGGTAATGCTCGCTGAGATATTTATAATTAGAAACAATAAAAATCGTAAAAATGTAAAATTTTGAATTGGGGCGTGACGCGAAATTAGCCCATTTTAATACAGAGTAAATACTAAAGTAGATAGACAGTAAATATTAAAGTAGGGTGCATTGCCAGCTAATGGTTTAATAAAAGACATTGACAGATGTGTTTGCTAAACTATTTACTGACAGTACTCTACCACTGACAAGTAAAATCGTCTGGCGGTACACGGTGTAAATTTGTCTGGCGTTAGTCAGAGTTATTACTGAAAGTAGTGTGTGTTGCCAGCTAATAGATTAGTAGACCTTAATATCCACTTGCTTATTAAATGATGAACGAGAAACAAGCAGGAAACATAGGGGATATAACCTTCATGTGGAGGCCTGCCATTCTACCAATGATGAAACGTGGAAATGATGCCATTGGGTCAAAAGTAAACTTCCCTTTAGAGAATTGTTTAGAAATACAAACTTTTGCATTCAGATCATGTGGCAAAAAGGCAGCACTTTCCTTGCGATAGTAACTCCTAGTTGTAGATTTGCACCATAGGTCTCCCGAAAAGGTCTTTTATTTTTTTAAAAATCCATACAATTTGCTTGCGGTTTACGACTTGATTCTTGTATACTGCATCATAGCACGTATGTCGTCATTTTCAGGTCAGTGTGAACGCCTGAGCAGGCGTCTTGTTCAATAAAAAAACGCGAGCCGGAAGCCTTTTAAAAAAAATGTGCCAGGAGAATGATTGTTTTGCTACTCGTATCTATCGAGGAATAGATAGCGAGTAGAGTAGCCAATCAAATTACAGAATTTGCAATAGTATACTAGTATGATGCTACTGAACTTGGATAGTATTGTAAATTTCAAACAGAACTTCACAAATATGTCAAGATCAGTGAGTGACTGGATGGCATGGAGAACGGTGCATTTCAAAACAACGAAATGGCAATGGGACATTCCGATACTGGATTGTGACTGGATGATACATATTGTTATATTGATACGGCTCACTGATACAGACATTGTAAAAGTGCACTAAGAATAGTTTTACAAGGCTGCCCCAGCTTTTGACGTTACCTGCTATAGACCAAATAGCAGAGTAGTTGCATATCATATATAACACACATCGTATCCCTTCAATGTTCCATTTTAGGTGATTTAGAAAACGCAAAACTTGAATATGAAAAGGCAATAGAAGTATGTCAAGATGAAAATATCAAATCCAGTATAAAAGATCGAATGTCGAAACACCCGCTGGTATAAGTAAAGAGTGTATGGTAAGGCTATATAAGTAAAATATAATATACAGCTAATTCAATTAACGTTGTCTCCTGAGGATCAAAACTCACAACAGAAACTTCGACATCTAAGCGTGAAAAGCACAATGTGCATGCATGTTAACACTACTGCATGTATAGGCCTACTGTACAAAAAATGAGACCCTTACAAATCAAGCTATTGCTGAAATTTGAATGGATAGCACTACAGTATGCTGAAGGCCCACGGGTGCGCAAAACAGAATAGAAGTGCATGACGAAGTTATTTAAAACTTTAGTTTGGTTTCGTCCAACATGAATAGACAACTTGCATGTTAGACTACTAATTTTTGATCTAGGCAAAAAAAAAGTAAATTCCCGTAAAGAACTTATTTAAATTAGTAAAATTGCAAAATTTGGTTACGAAATGTTGTAAAATACGGAAAATATAGCCCTGCGAAGTTTGCATATTTTGTATATGTTTGTATTGCGTGCGGAAATTATTACCATTTTTGAGCCGAAAATGGTAACAATTTCCGCACGTAATACAAACGTATACAAAATATGCAAACTTTGCAAGACTATATTTTCCAAGCCCCACAACATTTCGCAACCAAATTTTGCAGTTTTACTAATTTCAATATGTTCTTTTTAGCTGTGATGTTGATTATCTTCTCTTTACTTAGATTAAAATTTAGTCTAATATGCAAGTTGTCCATTGTGTGCTGATTAATTTAACGCAGCGCGTAAAACAGTAAAAACTCTGTGGTGAATTGAACCATTTTTATTCGAACTGATATGACTAATTAGTAATTTGACAATTTTTTATACAGTTAGGGACTGGTCATAATTTATGAGGGGGGGTGGGAAGGTGTAATTCAAAATTCTAAGGAATGATATTTTGTGACCCTGCTTTGCCATAACCCAGAAAAATAATGCCCCCCCCCCCCTCTCTCTCTCTCTTGCTCGTGTCAGTAAAAATGTACCTACCTACTACTAAACCCTGCATTCAATAAATTTTCTAATTGCACTTTAAATTTTCTAATTTTCTAGTTGTGCTTTAAATCAAATACTAAAATTTATATTATTCCAATACATAGTCATATATAAAACTTTTGTTTTTTCAAACTTTTCATTCTAAGTTTAAAGAATCAATTTTTTTCAATGCAACTCAAACAAAATGTGAGAAGGCATGTATAAAACAATTAATTGAACTAAAACAGCAGGCCCCCTCCCCGCCTTCACAAACTGTCTCATATTTTATGAACCCCCCTTTTTCCTGGCTAAAAAATATGTGCCCCCCCACTGTTTCCACCTCCCCACCCCTCCTGCTAAATTATGACCAGTCCCTTATATGCTCCTTTATACGAATAGAAACTATTTTAAATTCACAAGAGCATAAAGTCTTGTGCTTAACAACAATAGCTTGATTTCTAAAGATAAATGTTTTTATACAGTATACACCCTATAGTTGTTAAGCCCGGCTTACACTAAAGTTGCACGCACACGTGTTATTCGTGACCAATTACGTGCGACAAAAATCCTAGTGTGCGGGGAAAATATTCAGGATTTTTGTCACTCGTGTCGTGAACAACAAATATCAAACATGTTTGATATTTTCTGTCATTCGTGACAAAAATTGCTAGTGTGCAGCAAACAGCTCATCGCAACTTTTCGCAGCAAAGAAGTGCGCATGTTGTTTTGGGGAATACGCATCCTTCCCAACAGCCCCTTCGCGCGTCCCCTGTCTGCCTGAATACTTCATGTATTATAATCGCTGCGCCCTGGTGGAGTCTGAGAGTGTTAGCGTCATGCCTCGTGTCAAAGATTTTTCGAGGCTGGTTTCCATATAGATATTTTCTGCGTTGTTAAGTGTTTTCACTGTTTTGTTTCCTGAGTTATGTTATCTGATAATTAGGAAGCGCGAAAAGGGTTATTCATAATAATATTAATAAATGTTCTCTGATCGTAAAACATTTTATGATGTGGCCGGAGCCGGAGCTCAGAGCTGTAATTCGGCCGGAGCCGGAGCCGGAGATGAAAAACCGGAGTTTGCACAGCACTAACTTGAGCTTCTTTATTATATAGAAGAAAAAGACAGCATCAACGCTGAAAAGTGTTTTTTCATGCAGGTAGTTCAGACATCACCCAATGGCTTTAATTTATTGTTTTAAACAACAGGATTCAAACATACAGATAATACAGACAATCATCTAAAGAGTAAAGTATTAATATTACCACACAAAATGTTTTACGCTTTTTTCTTTTCAACGTCTTTGCTTGGTGCAAATTCTGAGATGTATCTAATGATAACGATCGTTGGCCATGCGATGTACACGGTGCTGGCGAAAACGAATATTATCCAGAAATTAAGTATATCATTCGTAGAAGTGAATGACGGTGGCCAAGAATCCTAGAAATTCAAAACAAGCAATTTATCTAAAAGTGTGACTAAAGGAAAGATAAAATGTAGTAGGAATTTGAAAGGTGTATGGCAGACCTTTCGGGGCAGTTGCTATAGTCTGTACGTCATTATATATAAAAATAAGCCAAGCATTCTTATTGCAAACAAATTGATATACGAGTCGTATACATGCACAGCTGCATGTATTAAACAAATATAAAAAAGAAATACTCTAATATATAACCAAAAAATATAAGTCATTTGTCAAATTTACCGATACAAAAGTATCATGTTACAAAATTCAATATTTCGCTTACCATTATTATATGTTTAAAACCATCCATAGCTTCAGCCAAAACAAAAACAGTGGTACCATACACTTCAGATGTACAAACAAGAATAGCAACAAATGGCTTGTACCACAATTCATTCACTATGGCGTGGTACCTATATAAGTATAGGAGATTATACTATTTATATTTTAAATGGTACTGCTGGCCTACCCCCAATCTTTATATGAGTGTTTTTAATCAGGTGCACAAAGTACGTACATAGCCGTAGATAATTTGAAATTTCATTGACTTACACAGTGTGTATAAAAAAAGGTTGTCCAACTTCAGCACACTATTGTACGTGAATTACTCAGCGTATGAACAAAGTTTTTCATTTTCGGAAAGATCAGGATTTTAGCTATTGAATGACATGTTTTTCATGCCAATTGGAGAAAAATAAGCAAGTACGAGTGCCTAATTAAAGTAGTGCATATAACAAAAGAAAAAGCAATTAATCACGAAATTGTCATAGCTATTTATTCGTACTTGAATCTTGATAATAATAATTATGAATATGTGCGTGGTTTATTGAAGTGAAATTCATCAACTTAAATCCTAAAGGGGGTTAATTTTCAATGTTTTTAGACCCAACTAAAACCAAACGTATTTGCTCATTTGTTACCATTTGCATGAAGAACATGTCATTCAACAGCTAAAAGCCTGATCTTTCCGAATATGAAAAATCATGCGCAGGGTAATTGAGATACAATAGCGCGCTGAACTTCGATTACCTTTTTTTTTTAGACACACTGTACTGCAACAATCACGGTGGACAGTCTTTGTAATGAATTCTTTTGAGCTGGCTAAAGCGGACATGTACTCGCTCGAGTGAGATAAGCATGCGAAAAACAACCTCAGGTTTCCATTAGAATTTACAGTATACGAGGCGTTTTGAAAGAAGTGGCGGCTATGTGGTGCTAACCTGAGTATCAAGCCGGTTACAGACGAGCAAGTTTTCTATGACAAGTTTTTATGTGACAAGTTTTATTTGCTCGTCTGTACGAGCAACTTTAACAATTTTTTCTATGACAAGTGCACTTGTTCAAAATCTAGCATGCTAGAGCTTTTGAACAAGTGCACTTGTCATAGAAAAAATTGTCAAAGTACAAATTTTGTTCGTCTGTATGGGTCAACAAAGAAAACTTGTCAAAGTAATCTGAGCATTTGATGTGATTGGCCTGCGCGCGAGCTCGCGTTACCGCTGTACAATAACAATGCTGCCTACTAATAAATTGTCAAAGTAAACTTGTTGACACGTTCACACCAGTAAATAAAACTTGTCATATGAAAACTTGTCATATAAAATTTGTTGCATATACACACGTGCACTTGGCAAATAAAACTTGTCACATAAAAACTTGTCATAGAAAACTTGCCCGTCTGTAACCGGCTTCAGGCTCGAAGCTACCACTCTCCTACGGGGGGAGAGGTTCCGAGGGCGTCTCCCCGGGAAGATTTTGAAATTTAGACCTATACTAAAATGGGATTCCCAGCTATTTTGTGGAGTTACTGTAGTTTTGGAAACTGTCATATCCAATTAATCCAAATGTTTAAGAACATCGTTTAAAATGTATGTTATAAAAGCAAGAAACCTTTCCCTTGACATTTCTGTGGTGAGGAAATATTTTGGTTTATTATTTGGAACCAAAATAACCGGCGATTGTCAGCGCTATATAGACGGCGAATGTCGTTGGGTGCATGCCGGCTTCTTTGGGAACCCTGAACTTTTACCTGAGTTCCCCGAGGTTTACTAAAGTCTGAAATAGGATTCAAACTATGCTTATGGTAAGTCAAACTAACCCGAGTCAATTAGGTGCATTAATACACTTCAAAACACTAGCTGCCTTGGATGGACATTTTTGTCGATTTGTACTTATATTTTGCTGTTGGTCGGCGTAGTTGACAGGATGAATCACGTACCTAATTTTAGAGTTCAATTTGTGCAGTGATAAAGTGAAAGTGTACAATTAATGAATAAAAATATTCGAGTGTTTCCCAAAGAATTGTGTGCGATAAAAGCAATCAAATGCACTGTTTTGTATAATCAGTGGTAGACTTTTCTATTTTTCCTGGAAAAAACCCACCTGATTTTGTTAAAAAAGTCTTGCAATAATGGATTGCTTTTAGTGGCCAAGCAGAGGTGGCCAAGCATGGTTAACCGTATTTTCAGGCTGTCTAAAGGATGTCGAAAGACCCTGGAACCGAGGTTGGGATGTCGCCTATAAATTTTTTTGTTGAGTCGGTTGGAAGTTGGGGGACAGAAGGGACAGAAAGCGGGAAAAAGGACAACCTTGTGGACAAGAACGCAGAAAAGGTTTATGTAACAACAGAAAAGGGAACAATAAAGTTTTCCGGAAGAGACCCGAAGGTAAATGTTGGATTTTTGGTAAAGCTTAAAAACTGAGATTTGATAAGCAAATTTGCATCTGTCATCCAGCTTTGCACCTTCCATCTAGACTATATGTATACTCTAAACACATACTAACCACAACACAGAAAGCGGTCCTTGAAAGAAAAGTTCTAACCAAACCATGGCCATTGCATTTGGTTCATGGTCTCGATATCGTGTATCAAAATCATCAAATTTAATTGTCATCCATTGTGGACCTCGACGAGTCAAGCATACAACTCTAAAAACAAAGGCATTGGTATATATTAATCGAAATTTGGCCGATCACGTGTGTCAAACGAAGTATACGATTGCATGGGAAGACTCTGAGATCATCAGATCAGCAGTAACAATCGTTATGGTTAGAGACATCGCTTCCAAGCTTTGATTAGAGATGACGGTATAGCTATTCCCCACAAGAGTATCTCCCACCAATGACGTCATCCCTTTAGAGCAACGTTGCAACACTAGATCAGAGTCTGTGCCAGAGTGTTTGAAACGTTGTGTCGTGAATGCAATTCGACCGGACTTTACATTCATTTATTAAGATATGATGGTCTGGAAACTGAACAGAAGTCATTGTATTATGTTTTTGTCTGAGTTTATGTTAATTTATGCACGGTCACGGTGATTAAGCTCATTGTATTAATCGTCCAATAAGGATAGCTGAGATGAAACGTGCAGCCACGATGAATAATATTTAATGAAGTTGAGACAAAGGATTTGTAAACGGTGAGGTACATCAAACAACAAAGGTCTTCTATTTTGTAGCTTTCAGGTTTGCCGGGTGTCCAAACCATCATATATTGACAGACTATCATAGGCGTACCGGGCGGGGGGGGGGGCGGTATCCCCCCAGTTTTTGGGGCAGTCGGGCAATATTCGATCAACAGTTGGGCAATTTTGGTTTGCAATAAAAAAAAATGGGACAAATTCTGTCAATGTTGTCTAAAATTAAGTCAATTTTTTGGCAAATTTTGTGACTTTTCGAAAATTTGTGTTATGTTCGGAAAAATATTGGTTGTCCGGAAAATTTTTTTGACCCCTAAAATGGTACACTGACCGAAATTTTTTTGGCGACGGGGGGGAGGGGGGGGAGGGAGGTCGCCAAAATAATTTTTCCGGAAAAAAATTTTTGGTACTAGTCGGGCAGAATCCCGAAAAGTCGGGCAATTTTCTTTCCGCCCCCCTAATTTTTTCCTTCCGGTACGCCCATGAGACTATGTGCAAATGAACTACAGTCCTCGCGCTTCTAGGGAAAAGAGTAACAGTATTCAAATATAACCAGTTATAACCACTATTAGATCAGTGGTTATAACCCGTTATTGGAGCCATGGGTGTGTAGTACGCCCTAACCTTTTGGGTAAAATATGGTAAATAATAAATCTAACTTACCCCTCTATCCATATGTGTATAATACAGCCACTAAACAATGCCCATATTGCAGTGAATTTCTCTGGTCCTCGAGGTAATCCAATGCATGTGAAGCAAAACAGTAGAAGACAAATAGGCATAAGGGTAATTAAAGCATCAAGATCCAATGAAAAACTCATTTTCAATATAAGCTTGAGTTATCTATACTGTGCCACAAAAAGAACATGCAGCTAAGTGTTAATATTGCTAAAGCCACATAAAATAAATTCCTTGATTCTCATCACTACACTTTGAAAATGTCAAAGAGGCGGGAGGTTTATATTTTATATTTATATAATTTAATATATATCAATAAATAAAAGTGTCACAAACTGAAATAAACATATTTCCCCACGAACAATGACTGGCCCTTGAACTGAATGCGAAGTTCCGTTAAAATGCAATGAAATTTCTTTCAAGGTTCTATTTGTTTGAAATTGGCAGTTTAAAATGGCACTAAAAACCCAATATAAAATATAAAAAACTTAACTGTCTTGAAATATTTTGTCGGGCGGTACATTTATATTGTATAACAAAATATAAAAAAATTTCACGCGGCTCTTAAAATACAGTCGGGCGGTGATGAGAATCAAGGAATTTATTTTATGTGGCCTAAAGCCCAGTCAAACGAGGATGGGAGTTGATAATTGCAACTCTCATCGCGTGAACAAATTCGCCTAGTGGACAACAGGCATAAAGGCCTATAGTCGATTTCCCAGTTCTCAAAAACAGCGCTATAACTTCGCGATCTCAAACCAACAGCTTTTTACAAAAGCAGTTTTCACCTACTAGTAAATTACATTGACGATAAAAACATTTTATAAATGAACTGACCTTATTACTACTAGTTTATAACGGACGCGTCTGATTCTATCCCCTTTTCGTTTGCGCTAGACCAACGGGGTGAGAGCACCAGGCCAGAGGGTCAGATTACCTGTGACTGTGCTCAGGGCAACCTCGTTTAGGTCCGCCGAGAGGATGCCCGGGGCAAAACTTTCCCAGGAGCCTCTGATGTCATGATTGTAGAACTGCTGCTCATACGCTGAGTGCGCGACGAACCTGTCCATTACGAACCTGTCCATTGGAACCTGTCCATTGGAACCTGTCCATTGGAACCTGTCCATGTTCTGGAACCTGTCCATTACGACGCGAATTCTAATGTTTAACTTTGTTCTATTCTATGCATGCTATACTATGTGCAATGGTGAAGTAGAACAACAGCAACTAGGCCTGTGGGTTATGCAAAGTTGTGAACGGTAGACAATTACCCTTCGAGACTATTTCGGAAGTAGCAATGTCTTTTTTTTCTGTGTTGGTGTAATGTACTCAGGTGAATATATGATGCTTGTGATATTACTCCGAGTGTATACCCACACCGGGCAAGCTTGAAAATATGCCTGGCCACGGTGGGAATCGAACCTACGACCTTTGGAATACCAGCCCAAAGCTACGCGGTCAGGTCGGTTCGAATATGTGATATTTCGGAACAGAATCTAGTTCCTTCGAGATCAATGTAATCTATAGTAATCATGATTTTTTCTGTGTTGGTGTAATGTACTCAGGTGAATATGATGCTTGTGATGTCACTGTGAATATGATGCTTGTAAGTGTATATCCACACCGGGCAAGCTTGAAAAATATGCCTGGCCACGGTGGGAATCGAACCTACGACCTTTGGAAGAGCATTTGGGCTAGTATTCCAAAGGTCGTAGGTTCGATTCCCACCGTGGCCAGGCATATTTTTCAAGCTTGCCCGGTGTGGATATACACTCAGAGTAACATCACAAGCATAATAGTAATGTCATCAATGAACTTCCAGGTCGGTGAATCTCTAAGAGCCAAGACCCCAATTAAGTGCCTTGGGGCACACCTGATTCAGAGTAACAATCGTTCGAGATCTTTATCCTTTATATCTGTCTGTAAGAAAATCTCTAACGCAACAAAATATTTCATAAGAATACAGTGGTCAATGAAGTCGAAAGCTTTAGTATAGTCAAATAACACAATAATTTCACCGCTGCAGAAGTACCATTCCCGCCTAACTTTTGCCCATTCATGAATCATGGAGACCAGAGCTTGATGAGAATTTAGGAATAGCACCAAATTGGGTAGGCTCTATTACTTTTAAGACTGCTGGAGCGATGTACCTCGACACAACAAATTCCTCGGCAACTTTTGAAATTGTGATGTTAAAGAAATTGGTTGGAGATGCTTGTTAATGTTTGTAACCGGTTTGAGTTTATGTATAGAGGTGACGTTGGCATACTTCCAGATAGTAGGAAGCTTCATTTTCTGGTAAGAACTATTTAGTATGGAGCAAACTGGTACGGTTAAAAGTTCAGCATAATCTCTCAACAGCCAGTTCGGAATTCAATAAGGACCAGATGCTTTCCGCGGATTTAAGTTACGGAGAATGTTATAAACCTCTAATTGAGTAATTTTAAAGACCAAAGGGAAATTCGGAGATTCGTCATCTGTATCACAAGCATCACTGGCGCTAGTAGACTCCTACTGGAGCAATGGATTTAAGAAAGCTTCTTTATACGGTCTGCAATATTTTCAGGCGAATCGTTTTCAGTTTGGTCCAATTGCAATTAATCTAACAATTTTTTGCTGCTGACGCTGCAACATAGATATCTTATATACACTAGATAGTAATTATTCTACAATTCAAAAATTGAAGCCGTGATTGCAGGCTCAGGATATTCCCATGAAACGAGAAGACTCGTATGTTTTCTATTTCTCAAACAGAGAACTTAAACTAGTTAAACCTATTCCAAATAAATTTTCAAACTATTCAAATGACAAAAGTTGTTGTTTTTTAAGCGTTTATTAGCGAGTGGGAAACTTCACATGGCCGCCATCTATTCAAATGGGGGGTAACCGCTGGAATATTCTTGGCTTCAATTTTACCAAAAGAGATGCGCTATCTAGTGTATATAAGATATCTATGGTCTGCAACCATTCCAAAAATTTGTCTTACTTCCTTCCACCAAAGAGATGGCTTAGACTCTTTTAGATGCTTTACTTTTAATGGAAAAAACCTACTTCGACACTTTCCGTTCAGTGTTAACACGATTACGGTAAAATTGAAGGTTTTTCTTATGAAATGCTCGTTGACGGCGTTTTATGCACTTGCAGGAAGTAAGTTAAGGCTGGAGAACGGCCGAGCGATAAAAAACCTTAATCGTTTTCTAGCCATGCAATCGTGTATTTCCAGTCCACCAGTGGACTGGCAAAAAAATGTATGGAAAACTCATAACTTTCTTTCGCCCGACTGTTTTCTCCCGCCTTAATTTTCCCGCCCGCCAGTCCTGCTCATAGCAGCCCAAAAATGGCGAGCGTGAAATATTTTCACGCGCAAGCTTTCAAAACTTTTCCAAACTATGAGACTACATAAAAGAGACAAATACCACGCATTTTTAGGCTGCTTATGGCCATGCATGAGTATGACTGCTAGAGTATGACTGATTGACTGATGACTGTACTATTGCAAATTTGTAAATATCTGATTGATTATACCATAAGACCATAGTTACTAAACGTTATCCGCTTTCAAAGGTAACGATTTCTATAGATATGTCGAATACTGTAGGTTTCATTTTTGATAGGGAAACGACCAAATAACGAAACTTTATAGTTGTAGGCCTGGGGACATATGGTCGGAAATATCGCATCAGCACTAGTATTGCAATGATAATGAACATCGATTATCGTGACCTAAACCAGGCCTGAGTCGCTTATGAGTTTATATGGTAACAAATAAAGCGCCTTGGCATTGCCCATTTGTTCATTTACAAGGTATACACCAAGGCCTACGTTACAGTACCGCAATCAAAACCTACCTGAATTAAATGCATACAGCAACTGCATGAACTCCAAACTCCTTGAGGCTGACCACATGCAGACACAACATAAACTATGCATGACTATGCTAATTGCAGCATAATTATATGTCATCGACAATTGTTTGAGCCTCCGGACATATTAATAGTTTGTAGGTTTTGATTAATAATGTTTACAATGGACCTTTCCCCTTATAACTAAAATCTCGATCTAGACAAAAATTTCATCACAGCTTGAAAGAGCATCACAAAATTAGTAATATTCCAAAGTTTTGTTGCAAAATCTTGTAAAATGCGGATAATACAGGGTGTATCAAAAAAAGTAAGACAGTTTTGAAATTGCTCTCAATTCCACAATTCTGTTCATGAAATGTAATTTTTTATATGTATGGATTGCTTGAGTTCTTAAATTATGAAAAATATAAAAAAATTTCAAAATAGTAAATTTTGCTATCCAGGGGGGTGGTCAACTTTTGCTCTCCTGAAAGTGGCTTGCGCACGGAAATGACAAACGGTATTCTTTATTTGAGTTCATGTATGAAAAGTTCGCTATTTGTTGCATTTATGATAAAATTTCGGCAGGATTTTACCGAGTACAAATCCTCGGAAAAGCCTATGAAAACGTTACATTTTTCTCCGTTGGTGCTGTTCTTGCTTCATTATGAAATCATTTTTACTCCCATGAATATCCGGATGTACGATGCCCTTCACGTATTCGCACGTGAAGGGCATCGTACATCTGGATATTCTTTCGTGAAACTTTGGCGAATCAAGTTTATGTTGTTGCTACGGAGGAACTCTGATACCATGCATAAAAGCTCTCTGCTGCGGGGTAAATTGTGGCATCGCCATTTCAAAGTGTACGGGGTATTATACGAGAGAATGCGTTTCAGCACAAACAACTCGAAAGCACAAATTCCTTGGAAATTCCACGGAACTCTCATGGGAGTAAAATGAATTCATAATGAAGCAAGAACAGCACCAACAGAGAAAAATGTAACGATTTCATAGGCTTTTCGGAGAATTTGTACTCGGTAAAATCCTGCCGAAATTTTATCATAAATACAACAAATAGCGAACTTTTCATACATGAACTCAAATAAAGAATACCGTTTGTCATTTCCGTGCGCAAGCCACTTTTAGGGGAGCAAAAGTTGACCACCCCCCTGGATAGCAAAATTTACTATTTTCAAATTTTTTTATATTTTCCATAATTTAAGAACTCACTAGCAATCCATATATAGCAAAAATTACATTTCATGAACAGAATTGTGGAATTGAGAGCAATTTCAAAATTGTCTTACTTGCTACGTGAGCTGGTAGGCCTTTTCATTTTAAATCACTTAGGTAAGAGGTTTGGCAAGGAAAACATCAAAGATGATGGTTTGGCTATTATAAAAAGCAAATCCGCCCGTTTACTAGACAAAACTAGAAAAGAGCTACACAAAATTTTCGAGCAATTTGACCTTAAAATCACCGCCGAAGTAAATATGAACGTCGTAAATTTTTTAGATGTTACTTTCGACCTCATCAACGCAAAACACAAACCATACAGGAAACCCAATGACGATCCATTGTACATCCACAGACACTCGAACCATCCACCAAGCATTACAAGACAATTACCTACAGCTATCAACAAACGCATTGCACTTCTCTCATCGGACGAACAAACATTTAAGGAATCCACACCTATTTACCAGAACGCTCTTACACATAGTAACTTTGATCATGAATTTACGTACACTCTGGATGCACCGCAACGGACACGTAGGAATAGGCAACGCAACATAATTTGGTTCAACCCACCATTTAGTAAGAGTGTCAACACGAACATAGGACGGGAATTCTTAAGTTTAATTGACAAACACTTCCCACTACAGCACAAACTACACAAGATTTTTAACAGAAACACTTTAAAAGTAAGCTACAGTTGCATGAACAACGTTAAGTCTATAATCACCAAACCCAACGCACATATAATTAGGAACAGTCAATCACAGAATGCGGAAACTGACAACTGTAACTGCGACAACAAAAACACTTGCCCATGACTACTGAAACAATGTATGACCAACACCATTATTTACAAAGCCACAGTCACAACGAACAACACGAACGACACTAAACACTACATTGGTATGACAGCGACTACATTTAAGGAACGTTACGCTAACCACACTTCATCTTTTCGTCATAAAAAAGACTCAAACAAAACGGAACTTTCGAAACATATTTGGAAATTAAAAGAAAACAATCAGGATTATACCATCAAATGGTCAATTTTAAAACACGCTATTTCATACACAGGGGGATCAAAACGCTGCAATTTATGTTTGGAAGAAAAATTTTGCATTTTGAAAGACATAAACAAAGACAATTTACTCAATAAAAGAAGCGAAATTTTCGGCAAATGTCGTCACAAAAACCGGTTTCGAGTAAACAAGGTCGTTAACAAAACTTAATGACCCGAGCATGCATTGTTTCACCTAAGTATTGTTTCGCCTACACACATTCCGAACATTCTTTCGATAGCATAAAAGCAACCTACAATTTCGAAATTATTCACCACCTGATGATTCCTATACGGATGAAACAGACTGTTGTGGTTTTTTGAGGTAAAACGAAAAACTATATTACGCTCATCTATATGGTATTGAGCACTGTTTGTGTTTCGTAAACCAAAATCTTAAGCTATATATTTATATATATATATATATATATATATATATATATATATATATATATATATATATATATATATATATATATATATATATATATATATATATATATATATATATATATATATATATATATATATATATATATATATATTTATATATATATATATATATTTATATATTCCTGGTCAGTGAAAAACACTCGGAAAAATTCATAGCTGAAATAAATGAAATCAGATATTCGTACTACTATAGAAAGTTAACATTTTGCTACACATTAATTTTATGTCTCATGCAAGCATCATATTACAAACGTTTTATATACGCAAAGTCTAGAAAAGGTCAATTATATATTAAGGAGCGTTCATAATTTATGTGGTTGTGGGGGGGGGGGCTATCAGGATTTTGGGGGTCAGTTATTTTTACTGTAATATTTAGGGGGTGGGGGCTGTAAAAAATAAGTTAAGAATCTGGAACGGTGCCCATGGAGGGGTCATCAAGAAACGCTATACTATTCACACTTGTCGTGTTTATCATATCAAATATATTTGTTACCTGAAGTCTATATACCGTACAATATATACACAGTTAATTGAAAAAAGGTTGTTCTGAAAATCTTAAACTTTAAACTCCCAAACTCTTAGTGTGCAAAGTATCATGGGGGCATTATTCACACTATTGGTATTTTGTATCATCATTGTTGTTTTTTTTTTTTGGGGGGGGGGGCATGATTTTTTTGTAACTATTGAATGTTTGGGCGGGGGGTCACAAAAAATATGGTAGGTACGGAGGGGGGCCTTGCCAAAACATATTTCAAAATGCAAAATCCTCATAGCCCCTCATCACATAAATTATGAACGGTCCCTAATTATTATAAGTTCGTCTGGCTATACATATGTAACAGTAATTAAACTGTGCACTTAAGCCAGTAAAGTTAAGGGTTAACGTCTCTTGCCAATGTATACAAAACCTGAAATTACTGAAAATGTTAGTTACTGTATGCAGTAGATTGATTTCTCGTTGTTTCCAGCCATGTTTCTAACCTAAACCAAAAGCCAGGGGACGAGGTTGCAAACCGTGGAATAAAAACAGCGAGACATGAATCTATATATCCAGAATTTTAACTAAACCATTGTCATGATAACACAGGCTAAGTTCATTTTTTCAAGTGCCCTTTGTTTTTCTATTGGATGTTCATTTCAATTCATTGACTTCAAAGTCTTTTACAGTAAGTTGTGTTGTATAATCTCATTTTTTGTACACAAAGGACATTGTACCTTGCTGTTTTTTATCTTTTGTCGCATCCTGAAATAATCATGTAGCTCCGCCAGAAAAATGTTTCTTTTAGCTCCGTTCAAAATATTTAAAAATATTTAGGTCAGCCTGTATAAGTTAGTATAGTTGTTTATTTGTTTATTTGTGTTTTCTTACATAACTAATCCAAATATTCAGTCATTTCCAGTAAATTCCACTACCATTCCTCCGGTAGTGTTATTGAAACTTTGAACCAGCAGAAGACGTTTTAGTTTTGACTTCAAAACAATGCTATTGGCTTCCCTTTGTTCGTCGCTACTTTTCTTCCAAACGAAGTCAAAAATAAACGGTAATGAAGTGGCGGCAATAGTGCCAATTATTTGAACACTGTTCGAGATTCCGGATTTCTGAGCCAAAGACATCATGATGTATAAAAGGTAAGCAAAAATTGCAATGAAGAACACTCCTTGAAAATAATGAAACAGGATTCGATCATACGGCAAAAGCCTTTCCCTCACCAAATCATAAAGCTTTTTTGGAATAATTGGACCTCTGTCGTCGTTTAACTCTATATTAAAACGTTCCCCGAAAGGACCCGTAGTAGACGATCGTGGAGTGTTATTGACATTCCCGCCATTTTCAGTAACACTGTTTGAGTTTTCACCACTTTCCACGGCGCCTATAGTTCTTTTGCAAACTTTGTAAATGTTCGTAGTTAGTGCCAAGTATTTTGTTTCGACCGAAGTTCTCCACGTTGCCCAAGCATAAAATAGAATGGTGGCAAATGGGACAAGATAAGGACTGTAAATTTCTCCGTTCAGAAACAAACCAACGATCAAATAAAATGTAAGCAAGAACAGATCTGTTATGGAAACCATAATAAGCAGAAAAGTTGTAAGGAAGAACCAAAGTACAAAAATATGTTTAATAATCCCACATTCCTGTGGTTTGACTGTAAGAAATATGTGATTGTATATAAACAATAGTATTAAAACAAGTAAACATAACAATGGAAGAGTGATTAAATAGACAACAAGCAAAATCAAAATAGAGAAACGATACTTCATTATTTCGAGAAAACCAAAACGTCTATCACCTTCCTGACGGTTGTTTTCAGGCCGTGGTAGAAGTAGCAGTCGTTCCTCCTGGCTTTCCTGGGTTGTTGGCGGTAATTCGGGATTTGTTTCTGATTGTTGAAAACTTGAATTTCTCGTTAACTCCAAGTTTCTATAGAAACGTGGCCATTTCGTACTAACCTTATGCCACCATTTCAAGTTAAATGGAAGAACAATAATCTCAATTGGATTTTTAAATGTATAGCTCAACAACTGTAATGGTTCTATTGTTAGATGATCGTTCTCATTAAGGGTGAATGTATCGGAAAACAGAAAAATTAATGCCCATGGACATACGAAGATCAAATACACCAATAGTGAATTTCCCCATTCAGGTAAAGTTGTCACAAATACAAAAATTACAAACATCAATTTTCTTCCAAAAGACTTTACTGGACCATGTCCCTCGACAAATACCGAATGCAATATGGATGAAAGTGACATTGGACTATCAGAAATTCTGTAATGCTTATTATCTTCCTTATACTGACTTAAATACTCTAGTATTATTGGGAAATCTATGTACATAAGAAAAAATACGGTTATGACCACAAGGATGGGAAATACTTTTGTCACAATTGATGAATAATCAGAGCAGATTGGTATATCGTTTCTTCCGACAATCGTACAACAATTGTACTCTGGTACTTGATTTTTGTCGTTGTGGGGACGGCACAAATTATAATCGGTCTTATTTCCACTCATATAATACAGTTGATGCACGAGGAGATCAAAAATGGCCTGATCCGTTATATTGTTTCCTGAGAACATGCACCGCATGGTTTCTTCAGCGACAACAATATTCACACCGTACACCCCAGCCGTCAATGTGCTTGTATACCATGGTAAAGTAATTGGTTTGGATTTTTCGGCTTGGGCAATCAGCGAGATCAATGTACGTCCTATTTCGTTTGCCCATTTAATTCCCTTTAACACCTGAGTTTTATTCATGGTAGCATTGACCGATTCAATCCAGACATGCAAATCAATCACATTCGTTGTGCCACTGCCCATTAATTGCAAAACATCTTTGAAAGTTGATTGGCTGACAGGATTGAGGCAGGCAGCAGTTATGTTACTTGAGTTTGTTACAAGATACCTTCGGATGGAACCGATTTTGTCGCCCATAGAAAACTCTGGGACTGAAGCAATATTCGGCAAGAATAGAATAACAAATGGCACCAATATTAATACCTTGGCAAATGCAGACATCTTAGCCGCAGGCAACAAACTTCGCAGTTTCTGAAAAATAAAATTGCGTAGTTTAGTTAGAAAATGCTTTAGAGTATAAAACTCTGCATGCTCGTCCAAATGAACTGAAAGTTTTGCGTCGTTATAAGATTTTAGTTGAATCATAGCGAATTTCTTAGAATATCCTACACATTAGGAAATTTAAACTATTGTATCCAAAGAATTTTTCCCTACATTTATTAAACAGCCATGATAAAAGGAGGAGGTCATCTCCTTGTTGCCAAATTTGCTGGACCATATAGAAAATCACTCGCATAAATGTTATTTTTCCACGGGGCCACAATACGTATTTCCGTCACTGCATGTGTACATTTCGAAAGGCTAAGCGATTACTAATACAGTTTATTTACATATAGACCTACAGAATATACTGACTAGTAAATGTGCTTTGATATTGATATTGTTAATGTCGTTTGATGATTAATTGTAGGCTTCTTGTACTTATTGTTTCGTAGCAAAAAGTATGCTTATAATAAACCAAACAAGTTATTCAATCTCCTAAAATAGTAATCTACCGGTGACAGAAAATTTCTTCAGTCAAATCGAATCTGTTTTCTTCGCCCTCGATATTTTACCGTATCCTCGACTTATAACCCTCGACCAAAGATAATATATGATGCATTAGTAAAAACTGATACGTCCAGAAAGTTCTAACGAATAATAGTGAAGTTTTCTTATTGGGGCTGTTCATATGAGCTTGACCGGCCCGGTAAGCGGGTTTGAAAGAATTCTCACGCGATCAAATTGACGGAAACACAAATTTTTTTATTTCGCAAAATGTTAGTTTTGTAGTCGGCAATGGCTTTTGGGGGCTTGTGTGGACGTCTTAGACAGCTTTTAGGCGGATAAATCATGCGCTGTGATATGATTTCCAGCCCGGTTTGCTTGGGCTGGCCAGCTAACTGCGTTCATATGAGCCCGGGAAGATGGGATCGTACCTCGTTCATGTGGGAGCCCGGCAAGGCGAGCTGACCCATCGAATCAAATGTCGAAATATATATTACAGCGCTGCAAAATTACTGCTCAAAAAGGAATTAGTTACAATTACTTGCTTGAAAAGATATAATTAATTCCTGATTTAAATAAAAATATTTTTTCAAGAGTAATTAATAGAATTATAAAATTACCCTCTCAAAAAAGTAAGGATACAGATTACATTTTGTAATGTGGATCTTGATCCAAATATATACTACGTACATTAGAAATAAAAAGACGCGAATAATTGAAAGTAGGTTTTACTTCAAAAATCGTTAACCAAAATCGGCACATTCATGGAGAAATTGTCAATTTGAATTGAGAAAAAATGGCCATAACATGCAGGCACAGCACAAAGATAACGACTTTTGTTTTTGCATTGCGATAGTTTTTACATATTTCTTTCTTGATTGTTTATAAAATTTATTCCATTTATGGAAAATTTCAGTATAAAGAGAATTTGAAATTTTTCTCTGCTAAAGGAATGTATTCTTTTATTTTGTAATTAATTAAGGTGATTCATCAGTTTTGCATTGCACCCTTTTAATTACTGCGCATATCTAATAACAAATTGTAGTTAATATGTTTAGTCAAACTGCATAAAGAATGAGTAAGGGCAAAGAAAAAAAAACACTCTGCATTGATTAGGTGTGCTTCAGGAAATATTCCTTCAAAAATGGCAGAATTCTAGCTGGCTCCTGTGCAGCTAACATTCTAAACCACATCATATTGACAATTACTGACAATTCTCGAATTCTTCACATCTTTCGCAGTACGCCCACATGCCATCACTCATCACTTTTCACTCCACACCTTTGTTGTCGGGATTATACTGCCTGTAAATTCCTTTACCAGCCTGTACCCATATGAGGATAAAGTAAAATATGTACCAAAGATAAATATTGTCCCAGAATGCAGAAATTGCTAATGTAAGGACTCTAGATTTTACCCCCCCCCCCCTGAACTATTTAAGTACAGAATACGTATAGAATATTCCGATATTAGTGATACGTACTACGATATTAACAGTATATACGTAGTATACAATATTAATATGATAATAATAATAATAGATTATTAATAATAAATATTCTTGACCGAGGCGCTCCTGCCTCTACCCCTTGCTTTCAAGTGCATTAGAATATTAGATCCTATCCATTCTTGTTGTTCTAAATTAACAACTGATTAACTTGTCACTTGAAGGTATACAGTAAAGTCAGAGTGCATATATATATACGCCGATTTTGGACAGAAACAGATGAAAAGATTTATAATGCAGGCGTATAATAGCGAAAATCATGCTTGCCGATTATCAAATTTGAATCAAGTTGTCTTAGATTTATTTAATAGTGCAATCACCACTGGTATTTTTCCTCTTTAAAAGTTCTAAAATATGTCAAAGGTTATATATTTTTTTTCCAAAAGACGCAATTTCACTACTAATAATCTGATTATTTGGTGGCAATCAAGTACTATCACTTCGCTATTTCGCTTAGTTGATCCACATCATTATTGCAAAATCCGTTTTCAGTATTTCATGTTTCAAATATTTTGTTGCTTGAGTAATATAAATGAATAGAGAGTGACCATTATTATATGAGCACATCTAGAGACTAAAGGCATTTATAAACAAAGTTGAAAAATCCTTTAGCTAATTATAATCCTGCATGGTTTCGGTTTCCTAATTCTATATAATGTCTATAATTTATTGTTTATGACGTTGTTTCTAGCGCCCTTCATATCGTGATTTTCTTCGAAATAAGTAAATATATATTGATGAATGATGTTGGTGGTGCCCTTGTATAGTTTCACGACTATTGTAAAGATTATCGATCTCGCTTGATCTTGGTTTCGATCTTTTTCTCCAGTTCTACAATAATTTTCAAAAGTTGTTGGAGGAATAATTGCGGTTTTAGATTATCAGTTGCATGGATATACATGTATGCAAAAAACTGCCACAAATATTAACATCGCCCTCCCCATTCAATGTTGTTTACACGATCACACGCCAAAGTATGCTAACTGAGACCAGGCGGGGGGAGGAGGTCGAAGTCTGTCAAAATAATAGGTATACTGTAGTTTCTTCGCTAAAAGTCTTCTGCATTTATATTCTCCACTTGTGCGTGAACGCATTAAATGAATTAACTTCAAACACTCATTAATAATTCATAAGCTTATTGACAAATCATGTCAACCATAATATGTAACGTGCAGTGGCTTTAAACCTGATAAAACACTCTTAATTAGTATTCTTTATATAAAGAATACTAATAAGGCAGTATCTATTGTAGTCGTGTCCTCATTAGTATTCTTTATATAAAGAATACTGATAAGGCAGTATATCTATTGAATTTGTAGTCGTGTTTGAAGCCGTTTAATAAACTCGCAGGCCGGCCGTGTTTTGTTAGGTCTAAAGCCACTCGCGCTGCGCGCTCGTGGCTTTAAACATAATAAAACACTCCTGCTCGTTTATTAAACAGTACATAAAGGTCTTCACGTATTTATACTAGTCTACGATCATATATATGATTCTCAAATTTCCTTGAAAGTTAAAATAACCTTCGGAGTGCATGTCGCGACATGTTATGAATATTCTTTCATAATATAATCACATGATTTTCATATGATTCTCAAATTTCTTTGAAAGTTATAATTGCCTTCGGAATGTAATATAATTGTATTTAATTTTCTCTTCGGTATTTAATAAGTTTGTCGTTTTTGCTCTCATGCATGCATGCTCACGCATATTATGTTTTGGAAACTTCGTGCGAACTGTTTTGCATTAGCGTACTTCCTACTTGTGTTCGAATGACCGAATTGTTAAATGAGTATATGTTTTGTGCGCTTGGCACCATGATATTTCAACGCCATTGACTACATTCCTATAGGCCTTGACTACTTTCCTATAAGCTCTTATTTCGCGTTTCAAAGTATCAGCAATACAGCTAGCAACGTGTATGGCATTTGGCATATATTATGTTTTCATCTGAAGTCGTTTGATTAATTATTTGTACCTAATATGCTCAGTTTAGAACAGATAGGAAAGTAAGTGATGCAACGTACTTACCAGACTTTCTTCAAGAGTTTAAGGAAACCAATATCAAATCTTCGTAGATGTAGCGATGTAACAGTTACATCTGATTGAGTGTACAGTTCACTTGCTGTAAACGTTTGCTAGCCACGCAGACGAAACCCGAAACACTATACCAGATGACACTGCAACTGTATTCCTGATCGTTGAAATATGATAAGGTCACGGGAGGCGGAAGGACCGATACATTGGGAAAGACAAAATTCAAAAAGCATAAAGTGTGGATAGTTACGGACCAATGTTCTCAGATTTACCACTGCTGAAAAATTTTTGTGAACTGAAGGTTTCAAGGAGAAGTTTGAAGATATTCGAAATGTACATGCCGCAGTACGTCTATACGAATTGCCGAGAAGGGACTTCCGAGATTCCGAGTTTCCAAGATTCCGAGCTTCCTCGAGTTTCCGAGATTCCGGGACTCCGAGCTTCCGAGTATCAAAATTGACCATTTTAATAGTTTAATAGTTTACGAGCTTGTACTGGAACTTTAAAGTTTAAAAACCCAATAAAAAATTTAATATAAGCCGTGCATAGCTGTTATGAAGAGATGAAATTTGTATACTTTTGTTTTTAGTTTCTATTCACTAGTATTCATGCCCAGCCCATACTTTATCGGGAATAATTTACCATGATCGGCAAAAGCTAAGAAGTGTTATGTTAAAACTAAGGGGAATTTGGATGCCATTTTCCTGAACAGCTACTTTTGTAATTCTAATAAGTAAATGTTCTTTTGTAACTTTTGTTATGTCTTGTAACTTTTGTTATGTTCTTTGTAACTTTTGTTTTGTCTGCATTATGTTGCATGTAAATGGTTCCTTATATAAGGTTTTCAATTACCATTTGTTAAATAACTGAGTTTAAATAAATAATAAGTAACTATTATAGTAAATTTCGTTATCCTGAGTTTTGGAGTTTCCGAGATTCCGTACAGTCATAGGCGTACGGGACGGGGGGGGGGGGCAGGGGGCAGCT